GATTTTTGAAGGACTTATACACGGTGAAGAGGAAACTGAATGTCCACAAGAAAGAATTCCTCACCAAGCAAGTGAGCTCAATATTGAGGACCAACACTCCTCCCAAATTCAAAGATCCCAGTTGTCCAACCATAGCCATCACCATTGGAAATTGTCGAGTGGAGCAAACACTCCTCGATTTGGGGGCAAGTGTGAATCTTCTCCCCTACTTGGTGTACCAACAGCTGCAGCTTGAGGAGTTGAAGCCCACCTCAATCACGCTTCAATTGACGGATCGTAGTATCCGTACACCAAGGGGAGTAGTTGAAGATGTCTTAGTTCAAATTGATAAATTTTACTTCCCTGTCGATTTCATTGTGCTTGATATACACCCTGCTGCAAACCTTAGCTCCCAAATTCCTGTAATACTTGGAAGACCCTTCATTGCTACATCTAATGCTGTGATAAATTGCAGGAATGGTCTAATGAAGTTGGCATTTGGGAATATGACAATGGAGCACAATGAATTCAACTTGGCAAAGCAACCGGGTGATGATGAGGAAGTAAGTGAGGTCAATAGAATCGACACTTTGGTTGAGGAGCACTTGGACCTGGAGGGGATATGAAATTCAAGGAAGAAGGAATGTTAAACATCTCTATAGTTGATGATAGATTCCCAACAGAATCAGGCAGTATACCATCGAGTGGATTTTCACCAACCAATAAAAACTGCAAGGATGTACATTCTACTAAAGAATTAAGAAATCTAAGTTCAAGTTTTCCGGGCTCATTGGTAAGCTGGTTTCCTGCAAGATTTAGGAATTGGAGCTGCCGCAGATTTCCCAAATTAGTAAGCACTGGCCCAGTGAAAAAGTTGTATGATAACTCCAACTGAAGAAGTAAAGATGCATTTGTGATCGACACCGGAATCTCTCCAATGAGTTTGTTGGAGTATAGATAGTAGTCTAGGTTTATTAGGATTTCTTTTCTGTTTTTTACCCTTACTAGATTTTTATATTTTGCCTAAACAACAAGGATGTTTAAGTCACTCTGTATTATTTTTGGCTATATATACGGGACTCTACTTTGAGTTTGAGTATCCCTTTCACATATTTCAAGTTGGTATCAAAGCCAAAACCCTAGCCTCCATCTCTAAGCCTGACCCTAACCTTAACCCTAGCCTTCATCACCTTCCCAGCAGCCACCATTCCACTGCTCAAACAATCTGTAACAGCCCCCAGTCCCTCAGCTACCACAACCGACTGCCGCTGCAAAGCACCGACTGAAACCAAAACCAAAGCACCGACTGAACATACAACCACCTAGCCTACTGCCCAACCTCCAGCGACACACCCAGGCCACCAGACCTGCCACACCGACTGAAACCGAAACCGAAACCTGCTCTGACTTCTCAGAGTCTGACTACTGCTGCTGTCACCACTACAGGTATATCTCGTGTCTTTCACGCTTGTGCCAGTTCATCTCCCCTTTGGATGTTGGACTCGGGTGTGAATGGTCACATGACAGGTGAGGCCCATCACTTCACCACTTTTGACGAGCCGTTACATACACAGGTTCAGTTAGCAGATGGAACACATGCCCCTATTGTTAGTAGGGGTACAGTCCGTCTCCCAGATGGCCTTACATTACATTCAGTTTTTCATGCACCAAAGTTGGCCATGAATCTATTATCTGTACATCAGTTAGCCAGAGATTTTCACTGTGCGGTTGTATTCTTATCTGATTCGTGTTATTTGCAGGACCTGAGTACCAGGAGGATTATTATCAAGGGACATAAGAAAGATGGACTGTATTATCTGGGCAATCCATCTCCAGTTTCACCAATTCCTTCACATGCACCTGCTTTGTCTTTTTCTGTTCCTAGCTTGCATGCTAGTATTTTACCTAGTAGTTGTCGTTATGATTTTTCGTCACAAACTGTTCAATTGTGGCATGACCGTTTTGGACATACAAATTTTAAATATTTATGTATGTTGTTTCCTGCTTTGAGTAATGCTTGTGTTGGTGGTAAACTTGATTGCGTTATCTGTTCCCTATCAAAACATGTTAGGGCCAATTATATTCCTCGCATGCACCAGTCACCCAAGCCATTTGACCTAATACACTCTGATATTTGGGGACCCTCTCCCGTTACTGCTCTGTCAGGTGCCAGATATTATGTGACATTTATAGATGATCATACCCGTTGTACTTGGGTCTACCTTTTGCATAGGAAGTCTGATGTGCTCCCTATAATCACTCAGTTTTTACAGATGATTAAGACACAATTCGATGTCATTGTTCGTGCTCTTCGTTCGGATAATGCCAAAGAATATGTGTCTGATGCTTTAGTATCTCACCTTTCTTCTCAGGGTATCCTTCAGCAACTCACTTGTCCATATACTCCTGAGCAAAATGGTGTTGCTGAGAGGAAAAATAGGAGTTTGATAGGGATGGTACGTTGTCTGCTTAGAGGCATGAGGGTACCAAAATCTTATTGGCATTTTGCTGTTTTGACTTCTACCTTTCTGTGCAATCGTACGCCGAGTCGTGTTCTTCAGCATAAGGCTCCCTTACAGGTCTTATTTCCTGAGCGGACACTTTTTCTGGTCCCCCCTCGTGTTTTTGGATGCACATGTTTTGTTCAGGATCGGTCCCTACTCGTCATAAACTTGATGATAAAGCGATTCGTTGTATCTTTGTGGGCTATTGTCATCAATCTAAGGGGTATCGCTGTTATGATCCTATTAGGCGTCGTATGTATCACAGTCTAGATGTTACCTTTCTTGAGCATATTCCTTATTTTCCTTTCAGTCCTTTGTCTGCCCCTCCAGTTGATGATACTCCCTTTGATTTTCCATTACCACAAGAGTCAGAGTCATTGATCACTATCCCTACAGGGTCATCCGTTTTTCCTCCAAAGGAGTCACTCATCCCTGTCAGTACAGAGTTACCAGTCTCTCTTCCTTTGCAGGTGTATGCTCGTTGTCCTCGCTCTCATCACCCTGCTGATATCCCCTCTACCTCAGGCGATGCAGGTAATACTTCTCAGTTTGTTGAGCATATTGATGCACCTGTTGTTAGTACTGATGAGATTACAGGTGCTGAGCCAGTTACTTTACCTGATAAGATATTATCAGTAGAGGATGGTGATTTAGGGCGTCGTTATCCAAGGCGTGATCGCCGTCCAGTTGATCGATATGGTTGGACCGCCAAGATTTTATATCCGATCTCTGCTTATGTTTCTTATGGTAATCTGTCTCCCACATTTCGAGCTTATACTATGGCCTTATCAGATACGCTGGTTCCTCGCTCTATTTCGGAAGCTATGCGGGAGCCCCAGTGGGTTCTTGCCATGCAGATAGAGATGGACGCTCTTCAGCGTAATCATACATGGGATCTTGTCTCATTACCTTCAGGGGTGAAGCCTGTTGGCTGTCGCTGGGTTTACACCCTGAAGTTTCTGGCAGATGGTACTATTGATCGTTACAAGGCTAGACTTGTGGCGAAGGGCTTTACTCAGGTACCAGGTCGTGACTTTGGTGCTACATTTGCCCCCGTGGCAAAATTGACTACTGTTCGGTTAATTATTTCTCTGGCTGCGGAGTACTCTTGGCCTCTTCATCAATTAGATGTGAAGAATGCGTTTCTTCACGGTGATCTGGACGAGATTATTTATATGGATGCACCACCGGGCTTTCGTGGTGAGGGGGAGTATGCTGGAAAGGTATGTCGACTGCGTAAGTCTCTTTATGGACTGAAACAGTCGCCACGAGCCTGGTTCTCTCGCTTCAGTGATGTAGTCATACGATTGGGGTTCACCAGGTGTCATTCTGATCATACCTGCTTTATTCGACGGAATACTTCTGGACAGTGTGTCATCCTTCTGGTATATGTTGATGATATTATTATTACTGGTGATGATGTTTCTGGGACTGCGCAGGTCAAGATAGACCTTGGGAAGGCCTTCGATGTGAAGGATCTTGGATTTCTGCGATACTTTCTTGGGATTGAGGTTGCCCGTAGAAGCAGAGGTATTGTTCTTTCTCAGAGAAAGTATGTTTTGGATCTTCTTTCAGACACTGGGATGTTGGGGTGCAAACCGGCATCATCACCTATGATTCCAAACCTGAAGCTTACTGCTGAAGGTGAGGAGTTGAAAGATCCGACAGTTTATCAAAGATTGGTAGGTAGACTTATCTACTTAGCCAATACTAGGCCGGACATTTCATTCGCAGTCAGCCGAGTTAGTCAGTTCATGCATAGGCCATGTCAGCCTCATCTTGATGCAGTTTATCATATTCTTCGGTACCTCAAGTCTTGTCCTGGACTTGGGTTGTTTTATGCATCAGGATCTCAGACCGGTTCTCTAGCCTGTTATTCAGATTCAGATTATGGGGGAGCATGTGATGGTCGATCTACTACGGGTTTCTGTGCTTTTCGAGGGACTCATCTTATCTCTTGGAAGAGCAAGAAGCAGACAGTTGTCTCCCGCTCGTCCGCAGAGGCAGAGTATCGGGCATTGGCACTTGGCACATGTGAGATTATCTGGCTACGATCGATTCTTGACGAGTTGGGTTTTTCAGTGACCTCTCCATCCACATTATATTGTGATAATCAATCTGCTATTCAGCTCGCTTCTGACTCTGTACTACATGAGAGAACGAAGCATATAGAGATCGATGTTCACTTTCTTCGGGAGAAGGTCAGCAGTGGTCTTGTTACTCCATCGTTTGTGGGGACCAGTGATCAAGTTGCGGATGTTTTTACCAAACCTGTCACTCTGTCTATTCTTCGGGACTCCGTTGTCAAGCTTGGCTTAGTTGACATTTTTGCGCCTAGCTTGAGGGGTGTTGGAGTATAGATAGTAGTCTAGGTTTATTAGGATTTCTTTTCTGTTTTTTACCCTTACTAGATTTTTGTATTTTGCCTAAACAACAAGGATGTTTAAGTCACTCTGTATTATTTTTGGCTATATATACGGGACTCTACTTTGAGTTTGAGTATCCCTTTCACATATTTCAAGTGAGTTGATTATCTGCTAAAAAAATTCCTTCTAGGTTTGGAAGCTGAAGGCCAGTAGTCTCAGGAATATGCCCTGAGAGGCGATTAGCAGTGAAAGCAATGTATATTAGAGAAGAAATGTTAAAAATGGCTTGGGGAATTTCACCAACAAGATTGTTGAAATCAAATCCCAACATCTTCAGATTGAACAGATTCCCCAATTCCCAAGGAATATCTCCTCCAATGCTATTTTCTACACATCCAAGATACTGCAGAGTAGATATATTGCCCAGTGAAGGAGGAAGGGTACCAGTTATTTCATTTCCAGTAACATACAGGTCCTCAAGCATATTTAAACATCCAATATTTCTGGGTATCGATCCAGTGAAATTGTTCTGGGAAAGGTATAGAAATCTTAGTCTTTTGAATTGGCATAAGCTGGAAGGGATGTTGTCACTGAGTCGATTGGAACTGAGATCAACAGCTTCAAGATTTAGAAGACGATCCTGCACATGGATCTGGATAGAGCCAGAGAGGCTATTGTTAGCAAGATACACGACACGAAGGGCAGACAGATTGAAAATGGATGGAGGGATTGAACCTGTAAGCTGATTGTTGGAAAGATCCAATTCTGCCATGTAACTGAGATTGCCAATCTCATTTGGGATGTTACCAGTAAAGCTGTTATCACCCAAACTCAATCTCTCTACCTTTGAAAGGTTTGCTATAGAAGGATGAACTGTACCAGTAAAAGCATGCTGGTAAGATTGAGAATTCTGAATTGTGGTAAATTCCATGGCTGTCCCAAAAGGCCACCAGAAAATTGGTTGTAGGCCAAAGAGATTGTTTGAAGCTTTTGGTTTCGGAATAAACTCAAGGGGACACTTCCTTCAAGTTGGTTGTTGTGAACATCAACTACTCTCAACCGAGGCAAAAGGCCTAGTCCAGAAGGAAGAATTCCTTGGAAGAAGTTGTTACCAAGATTTAGAACGGCAAGAAATGATAGATTGGTGATAGATTGTGAAATGGTCCCTTGCAGATTCAATTCAGGGAGGATTAAGGCTGTCACCCTTTGCCTCCGGGGGCTGCAAGTGACACCAATCCAGTTGCAGAAGGAAGTTGAAATGGTCCAGTTATTAGTCAAGACATTGTTGGTGTCTCTTGTAAAATTTTTGAATACAAGCAAAGCAAATTGATCAGTGAGGTTGGTGGGAGAAGCACAGAAACAAATCATGAAAGATTGCATAAACAATAGACTAAGCAAAACAAAGTAATGCTTATCCATGTGAAGATTGATGAGAAGAACCAGAAAAAAAAAATAAGGGAAAAGGATTTGGTGGCATTACAGTTTGTCTTGAAACAAGACTTGCTCAACGTCACTCATAATTGGTATCAATTAGGAGACTTTGACTTCAAATAAAGTACTGCCAAGCTATACAAAATGGGAGAGGCTATGGTACCGCTGATGCCCGACAGTACCGTACCAAAAATTATAAAATATTAAATTATAATTTTTTTGAAATGTAAGTAACAATTTTAAAAGATATGATCAACTATAGAAGGTTGAAATTGATATTAACATTTTCATAATCGATCATGCCCTTTCCTCGAACAATTATAACTTTTTTTTTAAAAATATAATTTTATCCATAAAAAATAATAACCGAGAACAGCTTTTGGTACGGTAGAATTTCCCATCCAAAATAGGTCCAGAAGCTTGAATATACATATAAAAAAAAAGGGGGACGTCTTCTCATGTTGTTTTGTGATTAACCACGTCGCCCATACTGTTTGAAGAAAACTTTGGGTTTTCTCCATTTGATTTTGGGTCTTCTTCGGAATACTTAATATTGGCGATACGTGCCCGATTAATATTGTAATAATGATTGAGCAAATACAAGTTCTCTTTCCTTTATTTCAGCCACGTGACTTACATTTTATCCTAAATCGATTTAATTTTTTACTCTCTTAATGGAAATTTGGGACAAAAGTCTGTGTAAAAAAATTATGTAATCTAAGTCAATGTAACCTTAATTTTAACGAACAGTATCATATGCACATCATGTGAATCAAGAATTAAGATAGTTAACACATGTACGTGAGTTAGATTGTACAATTAAGGGGTTAAATTGATATAAAAAATTAGTTTAAAAAACTTAATTAACACGTATGACTGAGTTTAAGGGTTATTTATATAATTTATTCTAACTAATTTAAATATCTTAAATTGAAGAGACATTTCGACTGATAAAGAAATAAACTATAAATACCTACCTTCCTTGACCTGCGAAATAATGTTGTTGTGTAATGAAAATGAGACATAGATGAAGTGTAAGAAACCGAAAGGATACTCTACAGTTTTGAAAAAAAAATAAAAAATAGTATTGATATTGTCGATTATAATTATATAAATAAGAAATTACAATAACTTAAGGGAGGTCATAATTGATCACATACAGTTATAATCTATCATAAAAAATACATTATTGATTCTAACATTTTATAATCAATCATATTTTTTAAAGTTATAACTTACACGCGACTCTCTGGGCAAAAATAATGTAAGCTCAGTTAAACACGACTCTTCTAGGCAAGGCAAGCCACCTAACTTCGAATGACGTTGATTTTACGGATCGTGAATGGATTTGACTCTAACTTTGGACGCATTGGAATCTTATAAGTTTACTGGAATACGGCACAGCCCACGTAATTTTTAGACCTTATGAATTGTTGGTGCCATCAAATTTTTGACTATCAATCATAGCTAAACATCACCGGCCCAAATTAATATGGTCATGAGCTAGGGTGAAACTGAGGGAGCGATGTGTAAGCCTAGAGGATTCAAATTAGTGAGAATTACATTCAGACTATTTAAAGTTTGTTAATTAATTATTTGATCTCTTAATATTTAAAATATTACATACAAACCCCTTAAATTTGTAACATTTAAACTCTTATTGTAAATATATCCGTTAATTAATTACATTTAGACCCTTTAATTTTAAAATATTATACTTAGATCGAAAATACTCCAATCAAATATAAAATATCAAATATTTTAAATTTTACAACTAAAATTCATGTTCTATTGTATCATTTATTGAAATAAAATTAAAATAAAAAATTTAATTTTTTCTTAAAAATTTATAATTAGTATACAATTATACTATCTATTGGAATAAAACTAAAAAAATCAAATAAGAGGTCTAAGTCTCTTATATTATTTTATTTTTGATTATAATATTTTTTATCTAAATATAATATTTTACACTTAAAGAATCTAAGTATTATATACCTACAAAGTTTATGGGGGTCTAAGTATAATTTATTAACTGATATATTTACAGTATGACCTAAGTGTTATACGTGTGTAAATCTCAGGGGATTGTGTGTAATATTTCAAATATCAGGAGATTTGAGTGATTAAGTGACAGACAACAATAAGTCTAAGTGTAATTCTCCCTACAAATTAATAAATAAATCAAATCCGTTAGGTGACTCAAGCCTTTGGTTGTACAATTATACTTTTTTTGTATTTTATATTTTGAAAGATTTTAAAATTCTTACTTTGTACATTTAAAAATTAAATTTTTTACATTACATCATTAATATATCAAAAGTGTTACAATATGTCTCCTTTTTTAGTAGGGGTGTTTATTCTACTCTACGAGTAGGAAATATGGTCTTTCATCTTTCTATCTGATACTTTACAGAATAATATATTATTGGTCTACTATATTCGATCAAGTGTAATATTCCTACCCGACTCCTGTCTAAATTAATTTGGTAGAAAATCGAATAAATACGTTTTATAATTATTAATTTTTGGATCTATAAACAAAAACAAAAAAATCAGAAATCATATACTATGATAACAAACAAAATCTCAAAAATCATATATTAAAATTTAGATTCTCGAAAAATTATATACAAAATATCATAAATCATATACTATAAAATCTCATAAATGAGCAACAGTAGTTATGGACACACTAATACGAAGAGGGATGCAATAAGGTGACCTTAATAAACAAAAAACATCATACTTAAAAAGTGGAAAATAAAGTCATGCAAGCAAATAATCAAACTTAAGTATCTATTGTAATCAAACACGCCAGGTGAGTTATGGTGCCACTCTATGGAGTCTGATTAGTTGATAATGTAGGGCTAAAAACAATTTTAATAGTATGATACAAACGAACTTTGGAAAATTAAATTTTCCAGGCTAGATCACAACTAATTTAATCGCTCTTCAATACATCTCTATATTAGGAGGCAAAAAACATAGAATCTGTAGCCCTAAACAACCACCAACCATTGATGGACTTGAAACCATCAACTGAGAGAGAGAAACAGAGATATAGAGAGCACCTGAAAGACTAGAACTCAAAGTACTTAAAGCAAAGAGCGTGAGAGAGGGGGCGAGCTAATGAGTTAGGTAGGGGTATTCCAACAAAGGGCGAAAGAGGTGAGAGAGGCTAGACAGATGAGGAGGCGATGACTGACTAGGTGTTAGGGACTTAGAATTTTTAGTTTATATATATGTAGGCAGGGTAGGGTAAGAATTAGAAAATTTGACGAGTATTTTCACATTCCCATCTAATTTTTTCGATTAATCAATCAATAGGATTGGATAGGTTAAGAAATGGGGTGTAATCAGAAATTTGAACACCCTCATTTGTTAGTTTTCATTATTTTTTCTGTCAAAAGACAATCCACTGATATTAACGAAAAAATTAATAGAAAGTTAATAGAAGAGACAAATTACAACACATTTGGTATATTGAAGATGAAATATGAAAAATTTAATCTTTAATGATATAAAATAAGAATCTTTCAGGGTACAAAATATAATTCGCCCTTATTTTTATTTGTTGATTTGGCTAGTCTTAGAATTTTTGATTAATCAAATATACTTCTCAACACATATATAATTTGAAATTAATACAATTTAAGATGACAGGACTTTAATATAATAGGATATCACCACAATATTGATATAAGGTTTAGTTACACTTTTAAAAGTGAAATTATAAATGCTTAAGATAATTCAATATTAATCATGAAAATATTGTGATTAATCATGAATTATTTCAATTAATTATAATTTTTATGTTTTTTGGGTTGTAATTTGACAATTGTAACTTTAACTTTAAAAATTATAATTTCTATGATCATTCATACTAATATTTTAAAATGATCACATTCTTTATAATTATAACTTATTTTCTAAAAACTATAACTTTCATGATATGATAGAAAAAGAGGGATCCAAAATAATAGCACATGACTTTTTCGAGAGAAGCCTATGGTATCGGAAACAAATTTGGCATTGTTTCATCATTATCTTTAAAAAATTTGTAACTTTTTATAAAATTTTAATGGTTATTTTATAACTTTTGTGATAAAATTGTGATCAAACCTGAACATGTAATTGAAAATTTAAAGTTGTAACTTAATTTAAAAAATTATAAATTTTTTTATTATAAATAAATTATAAAATTTATATCAAAATTTTAAAAAATTATAAAATTTAGAAACACAGTACCAAAATTTTGTAGTCTTGTCCTATTTATCAACACCTTGTATACTAGCCCTGACACACGACATCCATGGCTGATGGCTCTCTCTACCTACCTTTTCTTCCGTGTAGCATCAGGCCACTGCCACATAAACATTTCAAATTCGTATTATTCCTAGCCGCCCTACCCTCTTCCCTCTGAGGGTTTCTGTTTCATCTCTCTCTCTCTCTCTCTCTCACCATGTCCCCAATCTCCGCTCTCTTCACCCGCCACTCTTTTTCCAAGCCCATCTCTCGCGTCCACCCTAAGTTCTTCTCCACAATCTCTTCACCAATTGAATACTCTCTTTCTCAACCCATTTACACCATCTGGGCTTCTAACACCGGCCTCGGTAAAACCCTAATCTCTGCCGGCCTAGCCATCTCCTTCCTATCTCCGCATTCCCCTCATTTTCTCTCCTCAACCACACCCTCCAAATTCATCTACCTCAAACCAGTCCAAACTGGGTTCCCCATTGAATCCGATTCTCGTTTTGTTTACCGCAAATTTTCCCAGCTTTTTCTCCGGAATCCACCCCAATTCTCCGTTCTTGCTTCGAATCATGTGCTTCAAACATCCATTCCGGCTTCAGAAGCCGTTTTGGGAAGTGGTTTTGGGATGGCAAGTGAAAACAGTGACAATTCGGGCGCTGGGTCTTTGAGATTTGGGTTGG